TATCTGAAAAGTAATGGAATTTGTACTGAAAATCCTTTCATAACTTTTCCAACCAATATCCCGGACTGATTAAGAATGATGCAGCCTGATCTTATGTATCTTCAATACATTTTCAAAACTGAACTAACTGTCCCATGAATATAATTAAAGCATTTTGATAAAATAATGATGTGTAGAACGAGAGTAAATATTTATGGTAATCAATATGACGGGAATGGTCAACATGACATTGATCAAAGTAAAAAAAAAAGCAGTACCTTTAATTTTTGAGCCAGTTACAGCAAATTAACATGGTATCTAATGCAGAAAGAAAGTTCGGAGGATTTTTTAAATTTGAAACAAATGAGAACTTCCATGTAGATTCAAAATTTAAATTTCATTTAATTAGGTTTAATTTAAAAAATAACACTTGTCACAAGACTTAACAAAAATAACCATTTCTGAACGCCATAAAACTCAAAATGAAATAAAAAGAACATTGGGTACTCTATATAAAAGGCAGCCTATTTTGGACTTTAACGTGTTTTCAAATCGCATCTTCTATTATATATGTAGATTAAACTAATGTTCAATGCTATGTTTTACTGGGTCTAGGTGTTTTTGAAAACATTAAGGCATTCAAGAAACATCTTTTTATTTTAAAAAGTTTAGTGACGGATATCTTTTGAAGTTTGAATTCAAACGATTTGAAAATCTTTTTTAAAGGGATGGAATAAACATGTCAAGTAAATAAAAACCAATTCCTTCTTGATTTTTCTGTTTCCCCCATTGTGACATTGGCATAGGGCGAGTCTTGCAGGCTGACGGGCGGTGTTTACTCCTGTTTAGCACCTTGACTCAACTCTATTTCATAGGTCCGTGTTTGTTCTTCCAAATGTTTAATAATATTGTTTTACTGAACTTCTGGGCATACATGTAACGACTGTCTATTATCTTAAAATTTTATGTTTCGAATAACGGCCAATACCTATAATTTAAAAAGAAACAAGGGTTGATATATGCATACATGAACTAAAAACAATGTAAAAATATATAAAAGAGTAAATATTTCATGTAAATTTAAAATATATTGTACAATTCAATGTGTTTGTAAATTATGTCCTAAAATAATAACCAATCCCAAGACTCTTTGTATATTACAAAACAGAAAACTTAAAGTACAAAGCGGTGCAATTACAACTAAAAAGCGACTCTTGATTAAAGGAAACAAATCAACCACCTGCGCATGCTCATTTAGTTTGTTTTGTACAAGGTAATCAAATGACATCGAAAATTATTCCACTACATCAAACCATCAAAATAAATTGGTGTCTATTATTTTTCAATTTACACAATTCCCCAATTTTGTTTGATTTTTCAATAATTTTAAAAAAAAAGGAAAACAAAGTTATTTGTATCCGTGAGTCACTCAGTGAAATGTCCATATCACTAAAGCTTTGAGTGTTCTCAGCAGCTGGCTAATAATCACAATAAGTATACGGGAAAAGGGTGTAGAGGTCTGTGATATTCTCTTCATGGAACCCTTATATATATATATATATATATATATATATATATATATATATATATATATAGATATATATATATATCATTTTTATGTAAAATTTGTGGAGGAAAACAAAAAACAAACCTTTCAAAATAGACTTTTTTGGTTATTTTGCAAACGCAATTCAATTTTCAGGTTCCAGGTAACTCCGTGGTGTTGCAAGCACATGGATTTGTCACTTCAATACATTATTATTGGGTGTTCATGCATTTTATTCATAGTAAAACTGCATGTATGCATTCAACGATGAAAACTGGTTAACGAAATTAGGTACATTTATTGTCTGCGAAGTTGATTGCCATGCTTGAACCAACTGTTCTCTTCGATAAAACAGATGATTGAAAAGGGAAGCCCAAGTTTGGAAGTGCGTATGAGAGGTACCGGGTACCAACAAGCAAATGTTTAATTAATGATTTAACAACGTTCAGGATTCATTCGATCTAATTTACTTTATCCTCTCAATTTCATGATATCATGGTACATAAGATATAAATCAACATGCAAAAACGTGTATACTTATAATACAGTGTGTAAATAAAAAGATTAGATGAATTAAGTTAGCTTTGGAGAACAAACGATACAATTAGTTTTAACAATAACTCTTTATTATTTATTTTTTTGTCTGAGAATCAACATCATTTGAATAGAGACATAAACCGGTCGATCCTAACGTTTACCCATGTGAGTGTATATGCATAATATATAAATATCTTTCCAGTTTACATGCACTATTAATGTGATTGCTTTGATTACAAATAATGTTAAATATTTATAAATCCCTTAGCGCACAATAAATTTAGCATTCGATAGCACTTGTACCAAATTAAAGGTACTTAAATTAAAAGTGAGGAATTATTTTTATTGTTGTTTTACAGTTATCCTTGTACAATGCCAGAGTTAATGCTTTGACGAACTGAAAATATATTTTAACATACTGAATAGTTCATATTCAAAGCATACATCTTAATTAATATTGTGGGGTTTGGCGTATAATTTTAGGAAAAGGATACGGGGATCGTACAACATTCTTCTAATAGTCAAAACATAATGACAAAACGATTTAAAGTTGAAAATCCATTACATCCCATTTAAGGGTATTTGTAAGGGGATTGGGATGCCGACATATATAAGTTATAGGCTTACGTCTTTTAAATTCTGATTTTGAATGGGGCTATTTACGCTTAACACTTTCACAGTTCCGGTTTATGAAGCGAACAGAATATGACCCCTCTTGATAGAAATGTTATTAATGAAACGTATCTAAATCGGTCTCTCTCTTTATAATTTCAAATTAAGAGATTTTTTTCTATACTTTCTTTAATAAACCCCATTATTGGAAGAAAGATTATCTCCTTTTATGCTTTTATTCTTCTTTTAAATGGACGCAATTTACATGTACTAACTCTGTTATCAATGTAAAAAAATATCCTCAAAGTATTGTTTCATAGAAGCATAGAGTTATACAACACTAGTGAATCATCATTTATGGAAGATTTAAAGAGGTTTGCTTCTGTGCTTTTGAGCAATATTTTGTTTTGATCTCTGGATCTATTAAAAAATTCTGCTATTACTTTTAGCACTTGTTAAGATTAAGATCATACAATCACTTAACATACAAATGAGGTCATGTTCAGTTTATAAGTCCTATGTTAACATTCCATGCCTAAAGTGACCATATTTGAGTCGAAAAGAATTTTTTAAAATTATGATATTTTTTTTCTCTTTAGAAGTATTATAAGCATTCTAAAATGTAAATTTGAATCTTATATTTCCTTGCAAACAGCACAGAATAATAACCCTTTTTTATTGTAGTCCTTAATAATAAATCAAAATCATTTTTATGAATTCTATTTTCAGATTTTATAAATATACCAAATATATGATGAAAATTCAGGAAAAAATAAACCCTATTTGATACATTCAAAATTAACACAACTTTAATATTTACACCTAAAAAAAAAATTACATCAGGAGCCAGGACTTTCATATTAATTTTCTGAATATATATGATACATTTAATAATTCTTGCTTTTATATTACTTGTTAAATTAAAAAAAAAAGAAAAATTATACTATACTTTTTTCTATCATTTAATAGAGTTAAAAAAGAAATATTGAGGGAAAGATTTTAAAATTTAATTTCTGTAGAACACAGTATTACAATGCAAACAAGTGATACAAAATCTTTCGTAGTGCCTAAGGAAGCAATTTTACACTTTAGTTTGTTTTGATTTTTTATGACTCTAAAATATACTTGATTAAAACAATTCTTATTTCTTAGGACAGCAGGATCCAGCCTCCCTGAGTTCCATTTAAATTTTCATATTAAGGACAAGGGATACATGAACATGTTTTCAATTTTTTTTTCTTTGGAGAAGACTACATATCATATCACAAGTTTAGAAAAATGGATAATTCTTAGAATTGTTTCTCCTATGAACTGGAGAATGAAATAGACTTGGAAAATGTTAGTAATATTTCAATATAATTACAGATATGGACAAGACACAATCAGTAAAGGTTTACAGATAAAAAAGATCAGAATGTTTCCTTGGTGCTAAAAGTATAATATAAATTAAATAAAAATAAACCAAGCCAGGTGAATTTAACTAGAAAAAGCAAAGTGGTAAAAACATCAGTCTACACTGTACCTGATATTGCTGATTTTTTTTTTCATTTGTCATTCTGAAGTATGAAAATCCTCATGCTTATTACAAAATGTTATCTGAAACACTTTGCAACGGGGGCAATAAAGTTTAAAAACCCATATCTTTAGCATATAGGTCATAGTCAAGGTCAAAATGTCATTGATCTTGGTGTCATTTATAAGAGCTTGATTTGTGTAGCATACATACCAAATATGAAGGGTTTATCTCTCGTGGTTCAAAAGTTATGGTGAAGATACTATAACGTTTCTGGGTATAGTGGTGGTTTTGGAATACTTTGTATTCTTTTACTACTCTATGGTTTACCCCGTTACAGAAATTATACGTGGGTCTCTTATTTCTGAAATTTGCCCAATAATAAGAAAAGGTTGAAAATTTCTATAAATTTATTAAAAATCAAGAGAAACAGTTAAAACAGCTAAAAAGTCAGGAATTTACTAAAATATGGCCAAAATCAACAAAAAGTGGCAAAAACTGCAGAAAATGGGTGTTTTACTCACAAAAAGGGTGTTTTACCCATAAAATGGGCGTTTTACCCATAAAATGGTGAGTTTACCCAGGAAAAGCATGGGGACACAAAAACACTGGGTTTGTAATGGCATCACACCTACCCAAATTGATGGTACAAAACGTACCTATGGGTAGAGTACCAGTCTGATGGGCACTGAAGGCACCATGCCCGGTTGAGCAGCGCAAGCACTACTGACGAATTTCTCTCAGAGCGTCTGTTATATACCTTTTGGTTGATAGGTGCGAAATACTCCACGCGCGAATAACGTGCGGTGCCGCCATTATTCGCGCGACATTTGTCAACAACTTTGCACCAAGTAAACAAGGCTCTAAAAAGTATTACAAACGCTGGAAAAGGATGAATTATTGGTTGGGAATTACTTTGGAGATGATGCCAAGTGTATTTAGAGTTACATGAGTCGAATAACAATGCCAGGCGGCCATTTTTCATTACGATAGGATTAATCAATGGAGGAAATTCGGGTTTGTACTGTACAACCAAACAATATTCATGAAATAAACATATACGATGAATTATAAAGCACATATTAATAACATACAGTTATTGGTGATATTCCCATGATATCTACAAATAAAATTACGACATACAGATTTTATATCTAAGGCATAAATTGTGTTGATCCAATTTTCTGGGTTGTTTTGTGTAAGGGAAAATCTGTAACACAGCCCCCCTTCCATGAAAACATTCGTCCCGAATGTTGGATTGTTTTATCAAATCTCATTTTTGGGACTAAAATTCTTATGGGAATATGGCCATGTAAAGTAAAACATAGTCAATGGGTAACATATTTGCAATAAACATAATCATGGGCCACAAGAACATATAAATATCATTATCAATAATAACAATGTGGTCAACAAGTTATAAACATAGGCATGAATAACAATAATATGAACAACACTTCGTCAATTATCAATACATAACTTTTACCAGAAAATATTATTTAAAACTGTTTTTATTTATCACAGTTCATCTGCACGTCACCACTTCCTGGATCCATTGGAATCGAAAAGTCACGACTGGGACGGGTCATGAATCTGCACATCACAAGTGTTCTGATTTCATCCAAATCACATTTTTATACAGTTAACACAGTTACATAATATATTCCTTTGAGATGTCCACATAGTCCAGCACACGTTCACTTATTTTGAATTCAGCGTCATCGGAAAATGGTCAGGATCCATATCCGGAATTACATCACTTGGCCTGGAAGGATTCCTCAAGGTATGAACTAGGGATGGCTCGCTTAGTGTAGGGTATAGCATAGATGATTTTTCTACATCACTCTGTCCTTGAGAGGGTATTGTGTCTAGCACACTATTGGAGACATCAGTATTTAGGATATTCAATAATCCTTCATGGTCAGGGTAGGATGTGGCTGGGGAACTCGTTAGGGCTCTTTTGAGTTTGTCATAAGCTACATGACAATTTTCATTCAAATGAACTTCTTGCTTTGGTTCATTTGTAATTTCTTTGGGAACTTTCTCAATATTAGTACATCGCAAGTGGTCTAGAAACTGAGGTTTGAGTTCTTGGCTAGGATCATTAAGGATATGGGTATTGTTTAGGTCTTCCCATTTATCTAGTACTTTGTCAACACATTTGACTGTGGCATTTTGGGTATTTTCATAACCATTGCTACATTCATCTTTCAAATTCATGTGACAAACTGTGACTTCTCTGTCTACAGTTTCAGGGATTTTGGGAATCATCAATTCATTTTTTTCAACAAAACTGGGGATAGGTTCTATTATTTCAACCTCATCCTTAAATAAAGGTTTATCTACCTTTGCCGAGGCAACATATTCACAATGGGGAGGATTTTCAATATCCTCGGCAAGACTTATCTTGCCACAAGACACAACTTTCACACAAGATTTACTAAAGCAGGGGATGTCTAGACCCTGTACCTTTAGTCTCATGTGTTTTACAAAAAGTTCACATGAATTCTGGGTCATAAAATCTAATCCCAATATGCATGGGTTTTGTATATCAGCCACAAGTACTTTATGGGTAACTTGAACATTTTCAAGTGATATTTTGATTAAGCATTCTCCCTTAACTGGGATTGCATCACCACTTGCAGATGTAAGTTTGATAGATACTGGGGTAATTTGGGGCTTTTCCACAGTATCTATACTTTCAAAGAATTGGGTACTGACAATAGTCATACTAGCACCAGTATCTACTAGTATATTTGTCTCTTTATTTCCAATTTTTCCAATAACATATATTCCATCATTTCCCCCATTTATATCTCTCACTAAAATTTCTTTTGGGGTAGGTTCAGTACAAGAGATTTCTTTCTCAGATTCAACTTTATTTTCATTACTGGGTTTGGGCTTTAGTGAGAGTGGTTGAGCCATATTTATTGGCAAGTGTTGGGGCCTGCCCCTTGAACCTGTCGACTTCCCACCCCCGAATTCGACTCTGGGTAGTTTCCCTGTCTTTGAGGTTGGAAAGGACTTTCTTTTGAGTTCTGAGGGTGATTGCTCCCATCGTTTGAATTTCCTTGGTAAGGTGGACCCTGGGGTCTTGGTCCATGATTTGTGGGTCTGTGCCCTTGGTAGTTAGGTTTGACTGGGTTTTTGTATGAGCCTATATTGGAATAATTTGCATAGGGGTTTTGCCCAAAATTATGGGTCGGCATTGGACCATTTCTTATAAGGGCTCTAATCTCTTGGGTAAGGGATTGTATGTCATCCCGCAAGTCTTGATTGTCTTGCTTTAATGATGAAATCGGGTCAGTGTCATAAATGACATTGAAGAATTTGTTTCTCTGGGCACCTGCTAATCTGTAAGTTTCTAATCGAATGGCCAAAATTTCTGCTTCATTTATGTCTTTGGGTTTAGCTTCCCTTAACCATAGTCGCATATCTGGGTCTGGTAAGGCATTGATAAATTGATCCAGTGCTAGAATGCTTATAATGGTTGGGTCAGCTGTTGGATATGCTTGACGGGTTAATTTTTTAATACATTGAGCCAATTCGGGCAAGGATTCATTTGTACCCCTAGTTTTGGTTTTGAGTTGAGCACGGTACATTTCAGATCTCTCAATGGAGCCATATCTCCTGTTTAGGGTTTTTACAAGGGAGTTAAAATCTCTTCTCTGAATTTCATTTAATTCGCTCAGTAGGGCTCTGGCACCACCCGTAAGGCTACTGGCAAGGTACAGAGATTTTGTTTTATAATCCCACCCATGTAGGTCAACTAAAATTTCAAATTGGGCGAGGTACTCGTCAAAGTCCTCTGAGCCATCAAATGTTTGGGGTTTTATTGTTACGTGAGATTTGGGTAGGAATGGGGAAGGCATTCTGTTTACATTCCTGTTAATTTCAGGTAAGGGGGAATAACAGGTACCCGACATTTCACCAGGGTTATATTCTCTTTGCCCATGAACTGGGTTTGAATGATTTCGGGGAGAAAAATTGTCATAATTATTGACCGGGTGAATGGGTCTGGGTATAAAATTTGGAAAGTGACGATTATCTCCCCTATCTTGATTAGGGCTCTTTATTTCTTTTTCCAAATTATCAACATGCTCTCTCAACCTTTGGTACTCATTTGTCATTCCCAACAATTGTTGGTGTACATTTTGCATAATAGACATGATAGCGTCTAATTGCTTTTCATTCACAGGTTGGGCAAGATCTGATGCCTTTGATGGAGAAGGAGGATTGGAAACGGGTGTGGCCACCCTATCATTCTCCAAGTTGTTAGGTGAAGATGGAAGGGACTTAAAAGTTACTTCAAAACTTTCTTCTAATTCCATCTTGTACAAAAATGGGTACAGTTAAAAAAAATGTATTGAATCAATAAAATTTTACCTAAGTAAAAAATGTTTTTATCTATTTCTTAATTATGGGTAAACAAAAATAAGATAAGAGAAAATCCCACTTTTGACACCAGTTGTAACGTTTCTGGGTATAGTGGTGGTTTTGGAATACTTTGTATTCTTTAACTACTCTATGGTTTACCCCGTTAGAGAAATTATACGTGGGTCTCTTATTTCTGAAATTTACCCAATAATAAGAAAAGGTTGAAAATTTCTATAAATTTATTAAAAATCAAGAGAAACAGTTAAAACAGCTAAAAAGTCAGGAATTTACTAAAATATGGCCAAAATCAACAAAAAGTGGCAAAAACTGCAGAAAATGGGTGTTTTACTCACAAAAAGGGTGTTTTACCCGTAAAATGGGCGTTTTACCCATAAAAATGTGAGTTTACCCAGGAAAAGCATGGGGACACAAAAACACTGGGTTTGTAATGGCATCAGACCTACCCAAATTGATGGTACAAAACGTACCTATGGGTAGAGTACCAGTCTGATGGGCACTGAAGGCACCATGCCCGGTTGAGCAGCGCAAGCACTACTGACGAATTTCTCTCAGAGCGTCTGTTATATACCTTTTGGTTGATAGGTGCGAAATACTCCACGCGCGAATAACGTGCGGTGCCGCCATTATTCGCGCGACATTTGTCAACAACTTTGCACCAAGTAAACAAGGCTCTAAAAAGTATTACAAACGCTGGAAAAGGATGAATTATTGGTTGGGAATTACTTTGGAGATGATGCCAAGTGTATTTAGAGTTACATGAGTCGAATAACAATGCCAGGCGGCCATTTTTCATTACGATAGGATTAATCAATGGAGGAAATTCGGGTTTGTACTATACAAGCAAACAATATTCATGAAATAAACATAAGCGATGAATTATAAAGCGTACAATAATAATATATGATAATTGGTGATATTCCCATGATATCTACAAATAAAATTACAACATACAGATTTTATATCTAGGGCATAAATTGGGGTGATCCAATCTTGTGGGTTGTTTTGGTAAGGGGAAAATCTGTAACAATACAAAAAACTATTTTAGCATATAGTTCACAGTCAAGGTTACAAGGTCATTGACCTTAGTGTCATATGTAAGGGCTTAATAAGTGGAGTATATATTCAAAATATAAAGTCTCTATCTTTCTTTGTTTAAAAGTTATGGCAAAGGTTTAAGTTTGTCGAAAAAAACTATATTTAGCGTATAGGTACGTTCAGGGTCACAAGGTCATTGATCTTGATGTCTTTTAAAAGAGCATAATCAGTGGTGTATGTATACCAAATATGAAGTCTCTATCTTTTATGGTTCAAAACTTATGGCGAAGATTAAAGTTTGCAGAAAAACTATAATTGTAGCAAATAGGTAGTAGTCAAGGCACAAGGTCATCGGCCTTGGTGTCATTTAAAAGAGCATATTTAGTTGAGCATGCATACTAAATGTGAAGTCTCAATCATTCATGGTTCAAAAGTTATGGTGAAAGTTGAAGTTTAGAGACAAACATACAAACAGACAAACAGATAAACAGGCAGACAGGACAAAAAAATATACACTTCGGATCGTTCGATCCAGGTGCATAATAAAATTTGTTAAAGAAACATTTCAATTTGATAGAATAATTTGTCGATTTTGAAGGAAATAAATCTGTTACTAAATATTGAAAAAAATCACTATTATAAATACAGGACATTCGTGTATTGAAAAGCTTTTTCATGTATGCGGAGGAGATACAGGGAAGTTGACTCTAACTAGAACTCTTTGTGTCTAATATGAAACCAAGGGCATATATATTCAATTCAAGGAATTAATAATGGCATCATTTTTTTTTATTTCTGTTGTTTGCCAAGAACGGTTGGTGCCACTGCAAAAATAACAGGCGCCTGCCGAAAACATATCTGTCGGCCGTCTGTTAAAAAGATCTTAGAGCCACCATATAATTTTTGGCGGCAACGGAAAAGTATCTGGCGGACGCCATATCTTTTTATAAGGCTGCCGCCCGGTCAAATATATTTTCTTCATGTACCTGGTGCAAACTGGCTTCCGTAAAAAACGGAAAAGGAGAATAGATTTGTTATTATTTAATGTATTGATAATTATAATTGATTTTTACATTTATGTTCATGTTAAAATAAAAGAGTTAATTTATAGAGTTATGGTATACGACCCTATACAATATTGTTTTCTGACAACAAAATAGTAATACACATGTATAACTTACAGAACTTATAAGTAAATTCATGCATAACCAAAATAACTTGAATGAATAATAAATAATGATTCAGCCTGTCATCTTAATAATGCAAAAGAAGTTCTAAACAACTTAGGTCCCCGTTGGCTTATTTGGGTTGTAGAGGGATGATTTGTAGTATATTGTAACTTCTAATTTTCACAGGTCGTCTATGTCGTTACGTCAAGTATAAAAATAAAATCTCGCATTTGTTATCTCATATATATTAGCAAATTCCAGATAGCTTTATCAAAACTAGTGTTTGAACTATAAAAGGTGTCAATAAGTTACGTCAAAAACGTATTTCTCTGCTTGAAGTTACTTAAAAATGGCTACATTTAAAATAAGCTAAATTTGAAGCCATTTTCCGGATGAAAAATTGCTTCATTGTCTACACTGAAATTTAATCATAAGGAATGAAACTAGTTTCAACTTGGGTACTTTACGCTTCATAAGTTATGTTATATCGTATAACAGTGATTTCTTTTCTGGACGGCGAAAATAATGTTTTATAGATATTTTCGAAGATTATCGCTGGACAAAGTCTCAGAATATTATATCATTTTTTGTATTCTACAATTACATGTATGTATAAAGTACAAGCCATTGCATATTTTTTTGTAAAAAAAAAATATTCCAATAATAAATTGTAAATTATTTATTCTTTGAATTTGAAATAAGGCATTAAGGCATATTTGATATTTTTTAATATTAAGTAAACAACTATCAAAACTAAAAAAAATCTGATTATTTGTTGAAAAAGGATTTTAGATTTTTTTTTTAAAAGAGAGAAAAAAAAAATTATCCGTATAAAACGACTTTTATTGATGAAATGAAAGAATGTCCTCATTTTATTTTATTTATTATAAATTAGTTTTATTTATTATTTTTTTTTCTTAATAATTTTTCATCAACAAAATTTTTCTTCCAGTGTTGGATCTGAGAACAAAAGTGAAAAGGAAATTCGGCATGTGAATAAAGTTATATGAAACATCATTAAGGAAGTAAATCAAACAGCTGATACTTCTACAAAATGCAATGGAATAAAATCAGTTCAGTTAGTCACGTGTGAAAAGTCCGTTCACAAACTATATAAGGTTAGGATGGAAATGCTGATCATAATAGCATCAAAATTAACTGTTAAATTCGAAAATGAATTTAACACCGATTACACCGATTTCTTTATTATTTTTAACAGTTGTTCTATATATTAATGCTGCTACAGGAGGAGGAATTCGTATGTATATGAATATTGATGAGTAATTTTTACTTTTTTCTTGTTCTTTGTAGTTGTATATTGCTTTTTTTTTTTTTTTTTTTTTTTACAAAAGCAGTAGTTTAATTGTGTTTGCCCAAATATTTTGGAAGTGTCATAGTTTCATTTGCTTCATTTGACAAATTTTATTGATGAAAAGGTTTCTTAGGATTCTTCTCTGGTTTCTGACTAGATTAAACATTCAAAGCATATTTGTTTACATGTCTTATATATTTAGGTGTAAGGAATTTAAAAGACCATATTTTTCATGTTACTCATCCCAATTGTACAACTTTAAACAGAAATGTCAAACTGCGTTTGAAAACTAACAGGGACTATATTTTTGGCGGAATGGTGGCGTATGAAAATCGCTTCTTTTCTGCCTCTCAAAATTATGATATAACAATGAATATAGTTATAAATTTTACACAATCGAAGACTTTATGAAATTTTCAAATGTAAGACAAAATAATAATAAGGGACTAAACTTTCAAAATATATCAAATAAATATAATTTGCAAACAAACTAGAACCATGTTAGTAATTAAACGCTTCCAATCAAATTGCAGATTTGAGCCAAAAATCCAGGAAAAGTATTTTCCTCTCTAAGTAAAAGATCAGAACCTTTTGTTTTTGTATTATTTTTTTCATTTATAAGACTGCTTTATAATCTGTGAAAATAAGAACAAATATATAAATAGGAACCATATGGAAATAACAAATATATCCTTAAAAAGCAAGAAAAACAGAGAAAAATCGGATAAGCCAATATCCAGTTTATTTGAATTATTTCTGATAATTTGGTAATATCATGTTTTATATATAGACCCAATACAGTAGAATCTTTTTGGGCAAAAAGAACAATCTTTAAACTTTTGAAATAGACGTGGCATAACAAGATTGGAAACAGTATTTTTTTTATTCTTTATGTCAAGGAAAGAGATAATGACCTTGACCTGACCTTGTCTCTAATATAAAACGGTCAAACTTAATCTCACTGCTACTCGCACTTATTGATCTTTCCTTCTTGATTCTGTGAAAATTTTGTTTACTTTTAAATACAAGAAACATGAGGAGAATCCTACTTTAAAGATCGAAAACAAAAGTCATTAATGCTGTCTGGAGTATTTGTTTGATACTCTTTATATAATTGAAAGCTATAAGTTAACTGCTGTTTAAAAAAGGCATAAAAATAAAATTAGAAAGAAAATGTATCAAAGTCGAACTCTTACGGTCTCCTTAGTTATACTTATTTTATATTTGAAAAAAAAATCGCTGCTATTTATTCATTTTTTTTTTTTGGTTTATATTAAAAAAATATTTTGATTTTCTGAGAGATAAATTAAAATGTGTTCAAGATGTAGATAATTTGACAGTCTTTGTCTTTTATTGAAGCTCTGTTGACTTTTTGAATTCTTATTGCACCAG